AGTGGAAAACATAATGATGCTGCTGGCAACAGAGTCAGACTGCAATAATTAAAGCATGAATGATGATCATGCAACAGCGAAAGAAGTGTTAAACCTAAGAAATATTCTTCAAGTTCATTCTGAAAATGAAAATAATTGGCTAACGCACAGGCTGCCCGTGCGAAGATGCATTTTTTGCATAGTTCCCCACAGTTTTTGTCGCTACCGGCACTGGTTTTTTTCGGCAAATACTTCTAGCTAAACAAACTAAAACTGGCCGTCAGTCAGAAAACACCCCTTAAAATTTTAGCTTTCAAGCTTTCCTGGCTTCTGATTAGCAATTTGCTAAAAAAAAAATTTCACGGGCCCGTACGTAAGTACCGCGCCCACCCCGGAGCTGGATTTGAGCCCACTAACACCTACTTGGATGAGGAACATTCCCTTAAAATTTCAGCTTTCTAGTTTTTTAGATCCCCGAGTTACGAACTTATCCGAAAAAAACTTTGGCGGGCCCGCACATGGGTACCACGCATACCTGGGAACTAGGTTTGAGCTCATGAATACCTAACTGGACGGGGAATGTCCCCTTAAAATTCTAGCCTTCTAGCTTTTCTGATTCGCGAGTTAGCAGCTTACCCGCAAAAAACCTTGACGGGCTCTTACGTGGGTACCACGCGGGTAAGACCGCCCATTTTGAGGATGGAGATCCGTACGTGCATGTAGATTAAGTCCCCAAAGTTTCAGCCCTGTAGCTCTTGTAGATCTCGAGATGAAAAATCGGTACAGACGCGCAGCGCACACACTGACACACAGACAACCTCTCGTCAATATGCGTTTTCCGCACTGCATAGCTACCAAAAACGCATAAAAAGTCATGCACTCACGTTCTGTTTGTTTTTGATTTCTTCAAGCACTGATATCTTCGTATACAAGTTGTATCAAAGTCCCGGATTACCGGAGCCGGAGGAACAGTTTGCGAGTTGTACGAAACGCTCTGTCTTTTGTTTTCTTCTTCCTTCTATATCTCACAGAAACAAGAACTGAAAATCGCATGTGATTATGGTTATCCTATTGAATGCACATTGGGCAATAACTAAAACTCGGCTCGGCTCGGCTCGGCCACGCAAAAAGGCACTCCTCTGTTGATTTAGATGAGAAATGCGAAAATCACAGATATATGTAGTTACCAGATTTTTCGCCCTCATGGGATTTTGAGGTGCAAGCACAAACTTATCAGCTTTCATCCAGCAACTAATTCCTTGCTTAGCATCATAAATCCGTATCTCCTCTACCCCAGCCCCCACCGCTGCTTCCAATTCTTCCTCTCAGATATGATCTCAGCTTTTTCCCACTCAATATACCAGTCCCCTTCGACCGCCTATTACGACCTTCCCACAACCCAAATGAACATTCCCAGTTACAGACGTCCGCTCACTTCCACCTCTACCCCGTCATCCACCCCAATTGCGTCATCCACCCCCCAAAAATGAGGTCTTAATTCTGCCTGGAGGTGAAATTCCCTCTAGGTAGGCTTGAGAAATACCCAACTTTACCAAAAAATCAGAAACGATTGCGTTTTGCAGCGAACGGCCGCCTTTATCCAAATATGTACGACCGAATCAACCCGCTCCGGGCCCAATCTCAACAACTGCCAACAGGGTCGAGGGAGGAGGGCAAGGGACATTAGCGGATCTAGGGGAGAGAGGGCGAGGGACCTTTCGTCCCCTCCACCAGGTAGCAGTTGTTTTACTGTACAAAAGTCTGTTCGGTACACCCTGTCGCTCTTCCCCCTCCTGGAGCCTTGTCAGTCTCAGTTTGGTGTCCATCGGCGATAGCCCAGGAGGGGGGGATGGCGCGGCAATTGAGGGGCGGATTGCGAGCTAGCCGAGGAGGAGGGGGCAGTGACGAAGGGGGAGGGAGGGGTAGAAAATCGCCCCCCCCCTCTTCCAGGAAACCGCTCTAGACCCGCCCATTGAGGGGAGGGGGAAGCAGCGGAAAACAAACAAAAGAACCGCGGTAAACACCCATTCAAAACGGAGCTGTTACGAAGTGAGTGGCTTTGGGAGCCCGAGCCACGCTAGCAGCCCAAGCAGTGCTGCGAGAAATTCCGGAAGACCCGCGCTGAGTGTGGTGACGAAGCCAATGATTACTTCTGGGGTACGGCGTGTACGGTGGAAAGATGTGTTCTCCCGCCTCCGAACCGGTGCTATTGCGCGAAACCAGGCGGATGCGGGTGCCGAGAAAAACTCCAGTGCTGTGCAACGCGAGATGTCCATAAGCGAGGAAGCCCAGGTAACCTGTTGTTCTGGTTAATGTATTACGAAAGGAACAAGCTGCTAACGGCAAGGAAACGAGGCTGCTGGCTAAACCCTTTCGCCTTGCCCAGTTGCCCTGTGATCCCATGTGCTATGCGAATTTTCCCGTTTGCTGACCCCTCCGTGATATGTAATGTTGTGATTAGAAATGAAGTAGTGATAGTGCGGTGGTAGTGGGCCGGCACGTTTAATAAATTCAGGACAGGGGAATTTTCCTCGAAAATGCAAAATAGGGAGAAAACTGAAGCGAAATAAATAGCAACGCGTATCAGACTAGCCGATGCGATCATGCGTTTTGTGCAATTCAGCCCATCGAACGATTGCCTATTAATG